GGATTCTGTCCGGGATTCCGCCCGGAATTCCCACCGAGAGCGGCTCCCGCTGTCTCGGGGCAGATCCAGGTGAGTCCCGGTTCCCGAATTCTCCCAAATTCCCACCGGAATTCCACTGGGAGCCGCTCCCGGGGGTGGTTCCGATCCCGGGTTTTAGGGGGGATCGGGTCAGTCCGGTCCCGGTCCCGGACCCCGCCGATCCGCGGCTTTGCGTGAGTTCCGGGATGGGGGGATCGGGAACGTCCCCAGGCCTGGACAAGCTGGGATTTGTTCCAGATTGGAGCCTTTTCCCGCAGCTTTTCCAACCCCTTTCAATCCCCTCAGAGATTTCCCATCCCTTTTCCCCCTCTTTCATCCCCCTTTCCCCCCTTTTCCATTTCCCTTCCCTCTTTTCCACCTCTTTTCCCCATTTCTCACCCCTTTCCCATCCTTTTTCCCCATTTCCATCCCCTTTTTTCCTTGGATTTCCCCAGAATTCCCACAACACCCCCGTGGCTCAGGTTCCCCCTTTTCCCCACAGAATTCCCCATTTTTATCCTCAGATCACCCCAAAATTCCCATTTTTACCCCAAATTTCCGCAGGTCACCCCGCAGTCCCTGATTTCCCACCCCCTCTTGAGCTATGAGCCCAGCCCCAGACATTCCCCATTTTCATTCCTAAATCCCCAAAAATTCCCATTTTTCTCATAGAATTCCTGGGGTTTTTTTTTTCCCCAGATCACCAAAAATTCCCATTTCCCCCCAAAATTCCTATTTTTCCCTCAGGTGACCCTGCATTCCCTGATTTCCCGCCCCCTCCTGAGCTACGACCCCACCCCAGGGTCCCACCCGGCCCATTCCCCATTTTCATTCCTAAATCCCACCCATAATTCCCCCTTTTCCCCAGTTTTTATCCCCAGATCACAAAAAAAATCCTGTTTTTCTCACAGAATTCCCACTTTTTCCCCCCAGATCACCCCAAATTTCCCATTTTCCTCACAAAATCCCCTGGTATTTTTTCCCAGATCACCCAAAAATTCCACCTTTTTCCTGTTTTTTTTCCCCTCCTATCACCCCAAATTTCCCATTTTTCTCAGAGAATACCCMAAATTCCCCATTTTTCCCCCCAAAATTCCCAAATTCCCCATTTTTTCCCCAGGTGACCCCGGATTCCCTGATTTACCGCACCCTCCTGAGCTACGACCCCACCCCGGGGTCCCACCCGGCCATCGTTCGCCGCGACCCCGCCATCATCCCCATCGAGTGCCACTACCCCAGGTACTCCCGAAATCCCAGAATTCCGGGAATTTTTCAAATTTTGGGAATTATTTTGGAATTTTTTTTGGGAATTCCCGTTTTTTTCCAGGCGGGAAAATGTCACGAGCGGTGCCGTGCGCCCCACGTGGGCCCCGCTGAACTCCGCGCTGGCGGCCGAGCAGCAGCTCCTCTTCTCCCTGCGCCTCATGAACGGTGAGTTCCAGATTTTTCCACATTTTTCCCAAATTTTTCCATTTTTTTCCCAGCATTTTCCCAAAATTTCCAGGCATTTTCTAGGATTTTCCCAAATTTTCTGGGATTTTCACAGGGTTTTCCTGAAATTTTTCCAAATTTTCCTGCATTTTTCCAGGTCTTCCAGGGACTTTCAAGTGATTTTCCCAGTTTTTCCTGAATTTTCCTAGGATTTTCCCACGTTTTCCCACGATTTTCCCATAATTTTCCTGTGATTTCCCAACATCTTCCCACAATTTTCCAGATTTTTTCCAAGCTTTTCCCAATTKTCCCATGATTTTCCCATGATTTTTACAAATTTCCCTTGATTTYCCCTTGATTTTCCCAGATTTTCCTGGGATCTTACCAGGATTTTCCCAAAATTTCCAGGTTTTTCTTGGATTTTCCAGTAATTTTCTGTCATTTTTCCTAAATTTTCTGTCATTTTTCCTAAATTTTCTGGGGTTTTCCCAATTCTTCCCTGTATTTTCCTATTTTTTCCAGTTTTTCCCAAATTTTCCAGAATTTTCCCAAATTTTCCCAAGATTTCCCAATATTTTCCCAGGATTTTCCTGATTTCTCCCAATATTTCCAGGATTTTTCCAGGATTTTCCAAAAATTTCCAGGCATTTTCTGTGATTTTACCCAAATTTTCCCGGTTTTTCTGGGATTTTCCTGCGATTTTCATGGGATTTTTGGGGRATTTTCACCAATTTTCATGGGAATTTCACTGATTTTTCCAGGAATGTTGGGATTTTCAGGAATTTAGCCTAATCTCATATTTTCCAGAGGACTGGAACATGGGTCAGGTGCTGTCCAGGGTCAGTCTGGGGGATTTTCCTGGGATTTTTGCTGATTTTCATGGGATTTTTGTGCAATTTGCATGGGATTTTGACCAGATTTTCATAGGATTTTCATGTGGTTTTTGCAGTAATTTTCATGGGATTTTCACCAATCTTCATGGGATTTTCATGGGATTTTTGGTGGGATTTTTGTGGGGTTTTTTGTGGGATTTTCCCCAATTTTCACCGATTTTCATGGGAATTTCGCCGATTTTCCAGGGAATTTCAGGATTTTTGGGAATTTACCCTAATCCCATATTTTCCAGAGGACTGGAGTGCTGACCGGGCTCTCTCTGGGGTCCGTCTGGGCGATGTCCTGCACGTCCAGGCCGAGGTGGGGTCCCACAGCCACGTCCCCCTGCGGCTCTTCGTGGATTCCTGCGTGGCCGCGCTCGGCCCCGGAGCCACCAGCGAACCCCAGTACAGCGTCATCGACTTCCACGGGTCAGTGGGGACAGCAGGGGACACTTTGGGACATTTCGGGAACATTTGGGATGGTCTGGGATCCAATTTGGAACTTTTGGGGTCACTTTGGGACATTTTGGGACATTTTGGGACATTTGGGGTCAGTTTGGGGTCAGGGATACACTCGGGCCCCGGAACCACCAGCGAGCCCCAGAGCAGCGTCATCAACTGACACGGGCCAGTTTGGGGTATAGGTGCCATTTGGGGACATTTGGGGACATTTTTATGCCATTTAGGGATATTTGGGGACATTTGATGCCATTTAGGGCCATTTGGTGACACTTTGGTGATATTTTGGTGCTGTTTGGTGACATTTGGTGACATTTTAATAACATTTGGTGCCATTTTGGTGCCATTTGGGGATATTTGGTGCCATCTGGGGCCATTTGGTGCCATTTGGTGCCCCGATGTGCCCCAGGTGCCTGCTGGACGGGCGTTGGGATGATGCCAGCTCTGCCTTTGTGTCCCCACGGCCCCGGCCGGACGTGCTGCGCTTCCGCCTGGACGCCTTCCGCTTCAGCGGGGTCAGCAAGGGCATGGTGAGACCCTAAAACTGACCCTAAAACCATCCCAGTGACCACAGTGACCCTAAACTGACCACAGTGACCCCAAACTGACCCTAAAACCACCCCAGTGACCCCAAACCTGTCCCAAAGTGCCCAAATGCCTTCCCACTGACCCCATGTCCCCGCTGCCCCCAATGTCCCCACTGTCCCCATGTCCCCACTGTCCCCAGATGTACCTGTGGTGTCACCTGAAGGAGGTGACATCACCCTGTCCCCATTGTCCCCAATGTCCCCAATGTCCCCATTGTCCCCACGTCCCTAGATGTACCTGCGCTGTCACCTGAAGGTGGTGTCCCCATTGTCCCCATGTCACCAATCCCATTCCCCTGCCCCCAATGTCCCCACTGTCCCCATTATCCCCATGTCCCCAATCCCATTCCCGTGTCCCCATTGTCCCCATGTCCCCAGATGTACCTGCGCTGTCACCTGAAGGTGGCCCCGGCCGGTGACAGCCCCGACCCCCTGCACAAAGCCTGTTCATACAGCAGGGCCAGGAACACGTGAGTGACACGGGGACACGGGGACAGCGGGGAATGGGGACACTGGGGGAATGGGGACATTGGGATGCACTGGGGACACTGGGGTGACACCACCCCTGCTCTGGGTGGCCCTGGGATGGCACCAAAGTGACTCTGGGGTGGCACTGGGATGGCATCGGGGTGACATTGCGCCCATCCCGGGTGGCACTGGGATGACATTGGGGGGACACCGCCTCTGCCTCAGGTGGCACCGACCTGGGTGTCACTGGGGTGACACCGCCCCCGTCCCCTGGGTGACACCGAGGTGACATTGGTGACACCGTGGTGACCCCGTGTCCCCATGTCCCCTCCCCAGCTGGGCCCCCCTGGAGGGGACAGGCGACATCTGCGGCTGCTGCGAACGCGGCACCTGCGGGGACCTGCGGGAACCGCGACAGCGACAGCGACAGCGGCGACACGGGGACAGCGCGGGTGAGGGACGGGGGACACGGGGACACGGGGACAGCGCGGGTGAGGGACGGGGGACAGGGAGACAGGGAAGGGACAGTGGGGACAGCGTGGTGTCTCTGCATTGTGTCTTCTTCACTGTCCCCTCAATGTCACTCACTGTCCCCTCACTGTCCCCTCAGTGTCCCCGTTGTCCCCATGGTCCCCACTGTCCCCACTGTTCCCAATGTCCCCTCTGTTCCTCACTGTCCCCATTGTCCTCAACTTGTCCCCTCACTGTCCCCACTGTCCCCATTGTCCCCACTGTCCCCATTGTCCCTCACTATCCCCATTGTCCTTCACTGTCCCCATTGTCCCCCCACTGTCCCCTCACTGTCCCCATTGTCCCCACTGTCCCCATTGGCCCTCTCTGTCCCCACTGTCCCTCACTGTCCCTGTCCCCAGGGGTGGTGGCCGAAGCTGACGTTGTCATGGGCCCGGTGCTGCTGTCCAGTGACTCTGGAGGACAGCGGGGACAGGGACACAACCGTGAGTGACACTGGGGACACTGGGGGTGGCACTGGGTGACACTGGGGGACAGCGGGGACAGGGGGACAGCGACACAGTTGTGAGTGACACTGAGGACAATGGGTGACACTGGGGGACACTGGGGGACACTGGGGGACAATGCGGATGGCACTGGGTAATACTGGGTGACAATGGATGACAATGGGTGACAGTCA